ATCTGGCGAGCCCACCCACCCTATAGCGAAAACCTCTCCAAAAAAAAAAAAGGAGAAATAGATTCTGGTCCTCCACTGCTATATAATCAGTGTAGAGAATCTTTTTTGTTAGTTTTGCTTTTTAATTCTATAGTGATTTTGCTGTAAAGCCCACCTTAAGAAACCCTAGTTTATAGCCTTAGTTTAGAAAGGTCTAGGAAACTTTTCTTAACCATGGTTTGTTCAGTACATTGTGTATTTCATAATATGAATTTTTTTTTTAAGAGAGATTTTTTTCTATAGGCCATGTGCACAAAACAGAGACAGAAAGCTAGAAATCACACTGTAGTCTCCTCAAGTCTCCTTGGGATTTGGGGTACATGCACCCAGCATGAGTTTCAAGCCACTGGGTCTGGGACTTGAACCACAGTCGACTATGTCGGAGTCCAGTAACATAACTATTGCATCATCTGCTGGTCTCAATAATAAAACATTAATAACAACATTTCTAATGACTTGATGTTTAAAGACTATTTTATGACCCCCATTTAAAATATGAAGAAAATCTATGAATCCAAGTGTTAACAATTACTGGAAGTTTATAAATACTTTAGGAAACATGCTTTTGTGACATTATAATGATAGTTTTACTAGGAGATCATTTACTATAATACTTTATTGCAACCCTGAGGTTTTGGCATTTTGATCGAAATATTCTGTTTTGGTAAATTCAGACTGTTAGGTATATGGAAGGGGAAGGGGGAGGGGAGGGGAGAGGAGGGAGAGAGAGAGGAAGGAATAAGTAATTGCTTTTAGCACTCTTGCTCCTGAAAAGTTTAATTTCCTATAAAGCTGAAAAGAGACTGTTAAAATAGAGTGTGTTTGTCTTTTAAATTTAGTCTGTCGCATTGCTTTCTTACAAAAATGAAACAGTGTCTTTAAATATATAAAACCGAACATCTGTATATATACTTGTAAATGAGGTATAAAGGTTTTTAACCTATAGACTTGGGTATGTAACAGTCTTTCAGTTACAGTTTTTACCTATGGAAATAGTTAAGCGATATTAAATGCCATTATAGCTTTTTCTTGACCCAAGTTTATTGAAGATAATTTTGTATAACGTAGTTAAGGGTTTCTAAATTATTTTTGGTTAACTATTACTTAAATCTACTCATACGCTTTCTTTACAAACAAAAGGTTCCACTTCCTCCTAATGGGCAAATGCCAGGATTTGGACTCATTCCTGCACCTCCGTTTCCGCCCATGGCTCAGCCTGTGATTCCCCCAACTCCACCAGTGCAGCAGCCTTTCCAAGCTCCTTTCCAGGCACAAAATGAACCACTGACACAGAAGCCACATCAGGTAAAATTTCATTCTCAGATTGGTAATGATCTTTTTGACTGTGTGTATTCCTCCTCATTTGTTGGCTGAATCATTTTTTTAATATGAAGACAGACCTCGGGCATATACTAAGTCTACTACATCCCTCAAGGTTTTCACCTGGAACGTGAATATAACAATAGTACCAAAGCCAGCATCTGGCTTGGTAGTTAAAGGAATTGGAATCCCACATGGCTGACGGTGATTCGGGTCCCGGATCTGGCAACTTGTTTTCTCTCTCTCTCTCTCTCTCTCTCTGGTGAGTGCAAGTACCCTATGTCAAATTAAAACAACAATAATAATAGTAATTTTTTTTTTAAGAGAGGTTTTTGCTTATAGGGTACATGTGCTCACCAAAGAGAAATCACTCCTGGGGGGATGACCATGTCACAGCCCCTTCCCATTCTCCTCCTGAGATCTGGGGCATGCACCACATACTCCTGACTTCAGTTTTAAGTTGCTGGGTTCAGGATTCAAACTGCAATCAACTATGAGGGAGTCCAGTGACATAACCATTACACCATCTGCTGGTCCCAATAATTCTTTTTAAAAACAAGAATAAGAAGACTGTTGTTAATAATAGTAATAATAATACCAACTTCCGTAAGGTTCTGTGAGAATTGAAACAAGAGTGTATAAGACTTAACAATAATGCCTTGTTTGCTATTAGATGATAGTTTATCAAGATGGTATGTAACTTATGCAAGCCGACTTCCAGAAATAGAAAAGTATTTTCTCTGATCGTGTCTAGTTTTGTTTTTATGTTTTTGCCTTTTTTTGTTGTTTTTGTTTTTTGTTTTTTGTTTTTGTTTTTGTTTTGCCACAGAGTATGTGCATCAATGGGAGAGAGACAGAGACAGTTGGAGGGAAAGTGAGAAATAAACCCACAGGGGGGATGGCCACACCATAACCCTTTTCTCTTTCTCTCCATTCTCTTCCTGGGATTTGGGCACACAGTCACACACACCTGGCCTGTTTTTCAAGCCACCAAATCTGGGATTTGAACTGCGGTTAGCCATTTTTTTTTCTTTCTTTTTGAGAGGTTTTTCGCTATAGGGCACATGTGGTCGCCAGACAGAGAGCAACATAGAGACAAAGAGCAAGAAATCACCCCCCAGAGGGCATGGTCACGCCGCAATCCCTTCTCCTCTCGGGATCTTGGGCACGCACGCACACGCGCCCGGCGTGAGTTTTAAGCCACCAGGTCCAGGATGCGAACCACGGTCGACTATGTGGGAGTCCAGTGACATAGCCATTACGCTAACTGCTGGTTCCCCGGTTAGCCATATTGATGTTCTGTACCTTAACTACCATACCACACACTGACTCCAGCCATTCATTATTAAATCAATGTTTGATCTCAAGTAGCCATAAGAGATTTGCGTAAGGGCAAGAGATTTTTTTTTTTTTTTGAGAGGTTTTTTTTTACTATAGGGCACGTGTGCTCACCAGACAGACAGAGAGACAGAAAGCGAGAATTCACACACACACACACCCCGGGGGGGGTGGCCACGCCACCGTCCCTTCTCCATTCTCCTCTCGGGATCTTGGGCCTGCCTGCT